GTATACCTTTATTTATATATGTAGCTCTCTCTGTGTGCATGCGTGTGTGAATTGACTTAGGTATCTGATAAAAAGTATAGAATAAATATTACCATTTTGAATCTATAATTAAGTCACTTGGGGTTGTAGTAAATTCTGTTGAATCACTTTATAAATGTTAAACTAGTCAATGATTAAGTGCTGCTAAATCCTGTGATCCACCTTAAACTGTGAATGAACCTTAGACTGCTGCTACACACATATAATCCCTTAAAACATAAAACATTGACCGAGTGTGGGAGTAGGAGTGGATCCAGCCACACCTAAGCTCCATCAGGAGTTTAGAAAGCAAGGGGATCTTCTCTGAACCTTGTGGCTCAACGGGAGGGTCTACCTTACCCTTTTGCATCTTTGGTCTCTATATAAATCATTCTAGTTTGATTCTAACTTGATTTGCCTTTGTACGTTTCATCCATGTATTAAGTAATAGAGTGAACCTTGCCATCAAACTTCGTGAAGTCGCGCTTTTATAAACTCCTATTAAATCACTTTTGCTAATACCCTTGACAGTGATTCTTTAAGCAGCCCAAACCACTCATTTGCAACACCTGGTTAAACAGCAGTCTTAAACAACAACAAACCTCCAGGCTCAGGTGGTTCCCAGAATTAGGAAGTGAATGCAGTCAGGCCTGGGACATTCGCTTGCTACAGCTACAAGCAACCATCTTTTCCATGCAAAATGAGGGCACTGCTGGAAATGGACCTTTTAAGGCCTAAGTGTCTGACTCAATTGTAGCTTTGCTTCAACAAGTTCAAGAATTAAAACAGTACCTTTATCCTTTTCTGCACGAACCACTTCTAAAAAACCAGCAAAACCTCACAGCCTGACGTGAACTTTGTTTTGTACTGTTTTGCCACTACTGTTCTTCTGTCTTCCTTTCTTTCCTTTCATCTCCTCTCACTTTCTCCCTTACTGTCACTCCACCTCATCTCCCAATTTTCCTGTTTCCCTCTATCATTACACTGAAGGGGGGCTGCTTCCTCACACCCCGCAGCTGTCTCCAGTGTAGTCTCTTTGGCCAAGAACAACTGTGGGCTGTTGTGCTTTGCCTCTGAGCTGTTCTCATGCAATTAAAGCAACATGATTTTTACCACCACTGAATGGTGTGGTAGGAACCTATTTTAACTACTGTTGTTAACTGTTTTACCATGTTGCATTTACTATGTTAGCTATTTTAATAGTTGCAAAAGTCAGTTTTGTTCAGCCGTTCTAAGAAGCAGCAGCACTGCACAGCAGAGGAGGCTTGATATGGCAGGCTAAGACATACACTAAAAGCCCTTTCCAAACAGTTGACCATCAGCACACCAAAGGTACTAAAACCACCTTACGGCCTTGCTTCAGGCACATCTAATAGCTGGCCGGTACCCATGGTGGCTATGAGAAGTAATAGCAGATGCTCAGGTGTGATAGTGATGTTCTTGCTGACGAGTCTGGGAAATTACACCAACATACTGTATGTTGCTGTACACATGGGAATAGTAACAACAGTGTTTATTTTGGACAGATAGCGACCAAAGGCAGAAATGGAAGGATGTGATGCTTAGGAAGCAATACAGTCCAGCAGCAGCAGATCAGCGGAGGATGAGCAACTTAGAAAGTTATGCTGTTCAGATGCTACCACTTAGAAAGACAGAGAAGTTCTCAAGAGAATCTATAATTATCTGGGCAACATTTTGTAATGAAATAATTCTTACTAATGTAATAGCAATTCTTCCCTTAGATTCATGAGAATGCCTTGGAGAATTGCCACCTGTTCTGTTTTTTTCACTGGTTGACCGTGCAAGTTGCTCTACTCAGTGGATGGTATCATAACTCCTCAAGTGTCCAGGCTCCTGGGGACCAGGACAAAATACAGCTATCCCCAGGAAGCACTGTCTGAGGACAGGAAAAGGGTACAAAACATAGCTAATCGCAAATTCTAGTTTTTCAAGTGCCCTCTGTCTTTTCAGACCAAGCCAAATAACGTGCTGTGAGAAATTCTTTCTCATTAGTAGTATCAGAGGACTAAGGAAACAGACAGATTATGTTCTGATTTTCCATTCCATCCTACTATTTAACCACATGTAAGATTTGCATCAGTTTCTCTATTTGTAGAACAGTACTACAAAATAAACACAGTTATAAAGCACTCTAAGATACTTGCAGGAATGAACTACGAATATGCTAATGTTACTTACAGTAGACATACGGAGTGGATTGCTGAAAGGTTGGGAAATCTGAATCACAGCAGTCTTACCGTCACTAATTCTGATGTCTATTTAACATGAAACTGAAGTATGGCAGGAAAAATTATTTCTGATCATTTCATTGCAATATTTGAGGATATTTCCTTGCCATTTTCTACTGCTTTTAATTATGAAACTACACATGATGTTCTCGATATTGTCTGCAAAAAATGGAGCATGGATTTTTAATTCCCTTTCTGTTGACTTCAATGATTTCTTTCTTGTATAAAACATGCTAAAAGAAAACAGTAGCCATATGTACAATTCTGAAACTATCAGTTGATGTCAAACACCCCACCTAAGCCATTTCCCATGCAAAAAGATGAAAATCACAAAACATCTGAAAGAGGTTAGTGGGGAAAAAAAAAAAAAAAAAAAAGGAAGTTACCCGATTTAGAAGAGAGGCTACAACAGTAACTAAGAACAGCAACCTAAACTGCCTATGAGGGAATGGTTCCTGGCAGCCAGATATATTAATACACATCTAGATGCAATTGTGCAAAGTCCTCCACGGTGGCAGCTCTAAAACCATAAATGGTATAGCTGCAACAGTAAAAATTTGCACCAGAGCTAAGAATGGCATCACCAAAACCCTCAGTTATACAAGCAGTCCTGAATCAGGGGACTAATCTTTTTGACTGATCTATTTTGATAAGGACTGCCAGATGGGCAAAATACCCCCCTTTATATAGCATTTCACCACTACTAGAATAAAATTAGCATCTCACCAATATCTTTTGTGGTTACTGGCAGGTTCACCAAGATTAAAAGTAGTGCTTATTCATATATTTCCAATATGCTAGAGGAAATGTAAATGGCTGCAGCTCTGCTTAACCAAGAGATGCAATATGTGCAATGGAAATCTCATAGTAGCATGCCAAATAGTGTTTGTTAGTGCTTTCCCTGTTAATACCATAATCCCTAACAAAGAGAAAGTCTACTCCTTTTTTAAAGAAAGTTCTCACTCATTACCAGGATCTTGCTTATATATGGGCCTTTTTGGGGGTTGTTTTTAACATCATTAGTTACAAAATTAAATACATAGTAATGGGAAGGAGACACAACTTTGTAATTATGAAAGGAGCGGAATCTTGGCAAGAAAAGTCTCCCTTGCCTTTTTTCCCCTCTGTCATTTATTTGCTGCTATGTCATTTAAACAGAACCTTATCTGACGTTCAAAGGTAGTTTTTGATCTGGTGAATACTGAACTGTGCTAATTGAAGTGACTTTTGTTGTTGTTTGTCTCAACTATAATTAAAATTTCTAATTGGAATTTACAGCCATGCCTGTAGTGTGTTGTTATCACAGATGATATGCCAGAAGAGAGTTATGGCGTCCTCCCAGAAGATGAAGAATAATGGCTCTGGCGCATGGGTGAATTACACAGTTCCTTAGCGAACACTGAGGACTAGCTTAAAAACCTCCTGGAGGCAAACAGTGGTTACCACATAATTATGTGACAAATAAGCCACAGCCTATGCAGTGAGCGAGTCTGATGGATGGGATTTTCAGATATTTTTGTCTTCATCATTCATAATTTACTCAAGCATGATGCCACTAGTGATCAATATTAAAGGCCCTCAGCGAAGGAAGCCAGCACAGAACACAGTTTGCAGCACGTGTAACTTGGCAAGGAAGTGTAGAATCATATCTGCATTTCACCAAACTTATGTTTCCAGGTCACTATGAGATCCAGGTACAGAGGACAAGATTACCTTGTTGCTCTGTGTTTATTTCTGAGATATTAGGAGGATTCATTTGCTGTATAGTCAAATTATGTAACTGACAATTCCATGGGTAAAACCACAATGCATAACTTAAGTGGAGCATAATAGGGTCCTTCTGAGAAAACAAATATAAAAGGTAGTCAGAGAAAAAAGTGATTCAAACTGGAGGGATTTTTCAGTTTCTTCAGTCACTCCCACAAATACATCTATTTCCTTTATGTCATTTTTGCTTATGTTACTTTTCAGAGTTAGGTAATCTGCACATCTGTCTTTGACAAGCATGTTCTAGACCATGTGATGTTATTTTTACGGTCAAGATTTGTCTAGAAACACTTTCACCTATGCCCATATACTGAGCTACTTGGGGAGATACAATGTCTTAACCCTTGTGTTTACCAAGTTAAATCCAGCTGTTGTGTAAGACAATGGAAAGGTTTTGGTAATTTGAGTCTTTGGCACATGCTAGAGTAACAGGACAACAGCAGAGAAAAAAAAAAGGAGCTTTAGAAGAAGGGCTTTCACAAGAGCAGTGTGTGGAATTTGACACAGCTGTATGGTGTGAAGAAGGTGGCTGTACATTGCAGATTTGTGAAAATGAGACAGAAAATGCATCAAGTAAAAAAGATGTTGCTTCAGATGTGTAAATAAACTGTGAGTTGAGTATACATATGTATGTATGTAAAATGTTTTAAAATGCATTGTTTCATTCATATGGCATGCACAGTTAAAGATCAGAAATGAAAGCTTTTATCAACAAATCTGGGTCAGTGCTGACTCTCATATTCCTTACATTCTTTCAAAATGAATAAACAAACTTCACTGTCAAAGTGCTAATGTACCAGTGATTCTCAATTTACAGCAGAAATAATGTTCTAGCTTTCTATAAAAGAGCTACTAAACAGCTTACAGAGGTATTGTTGCAGGAAAACAATGACAGGTACAAGATGGTTCCTCCTACACAGTCTACTAAGAGCAGCAGCAATATCAGAGATCATTAGACAAACTAACCTGTGGTGTCATTCCATGGCAAATATACATGATTGGGATATTCTCCGTGTCTGGCCCTTGATCAAGGCACAAATCACTTTTCAGGGAATTCTGCAGCTAAAATAAACAGAAAGAAAAATAAATCAAGCACATCTTACATAAGAAAAAGATGGTGTGATTATTTTCTTTGCAAAAAAATCATATGTAGTTGAACACGGAAATACACAAAATTAAAAATACTTGTTGCAGTGAAGATATTGAAGAGAAAGCACCTGGTCTAAATTCTTCCTTGTAGATAATCTAACACTACTGATTTCAATAACATTGCACAAGGTTTCAGGGAGGGTAGATTTCAAAAAGCCTTCAGAGGTAACAATGATTTTTGATATACATTTTTAAAATATTAAGTCTAATGAATCTGTGGTACACACTATATACAAAAGAATTTTTTTATCAGTGCAGCTAGTGGAGCAGTACGGATGGAGTTTCAAACATAGGAGAAAGCCCTGTAATTAAACAGTTTTTCAGAATCACTCAGAAGAGTCTTCTGATTTCTGGAAATAATTCAAAAAAATCCTTTCTACTGATGCTTAGAGACTTCTGGCCAATTGGTATGCACTAGCTCTTCTTTGCATTATTCTGGGCTAACCCACGCACAGCAATCCAGCTATGAACAGACTGCAAAGTACTTGGCCCTGTTCATCACAAAGCCCTATATATTACTGTGCAATGCTGAGACAGAATTTTCTGAAAGTGAAGTGCTAAATTAATGAGCACAGATAGCTGGAAGGTCTCTTTAGAGTGTGAGGCCAAAGATGTGGATTGCCTACCCTTGGGCATGTATAAAGGTGTTCAGTGGTATAAGATCAGTTCAGAGAACATGAGAGAATTGTCTGATGGAGGGAGTGAAGAGGTGATGTGGTTTGCAACCATCTGTGATTACCTAAGCAGTCCTGTCAGCTGTGTACAGGGGCCTCCTTTGAGGAAAACAAATTGATATGCTTAGAAAGGAAGTCTAGAAATGCACTAGTATGTAAGAAGTGTGGACAAGTGAGTGACTGAAGCCAGGCAGTGAATAAAATCAAAAGCATGAACTCATCTCTACAAGATTTCCAACTCCAAATGTAACTCTAATTTCAATAACAGACAGGACAAATCTCAGCATTGAAGAGAAAATATGTGTTAGGTATCAATACTGCCCTTATTCTTAGCCACAAGCCTTGAGAATTAGATAGTTTCCTCTCTCAAAGCTTTGTATTTCTTAGCCATAAACATAACCACAACCATGACTCTAATTGTAATCAGATATTAGGCACCACTCTCTATCCAAATGAATGATAAATATCAGCCTTATTAATTCATGCCTGTATCCATCACTACCTTCGGCTTTTCAAAACTTCTTCCACAAACTCAAATTCTAATGCTTGTTCTAGCCCTAATGTTATAACCTTTTCCACAACAATCCCCATAGTAAAGGAAGCAAAAAAATTTGCCTTGACCAAAATTAGCACACGACTTAGCTGAGAGGGCCAACCCAGCAGTAAAACAGATACAGAGACTTTAGAGTCCCAAGCTCTAAAAAGAAACATGACCCTAACCCTAGCAGCAGCAGTCTGGTGATCAGGGACTACAGAAAGAGACAAAACACTATATTCCTTTTAACACCAGTCGTCCTCTTATGAATCTTGAAAACAAAAAAATAAAATGAACTCTTCAGATTTAATTTCTCAAACTCTTATCCCAATGACAAGAGAAATGATCCTTACAGAAAACAGAAAAACAAAAAAGCCACTGGCCTGTTAACTAATAATGCTGTTTCAAAATCTGAGGCCCAGACTCTTAGGAACCATCCCTTTCCAAAATCTAGTGGCTTTGTGGCAACCAACAATTAACTTGGATAATGCAGTTTTAGACTACCAAGACTTTATTACAACCCAAAATATAACCAGGTCACCAGTCCCCACGCTGAAAAACGGAAATAATTAGTCAATACTGCCATTTGCTCCCTTTCAAACTTAAGACCCTTACAGGACACAGAGATAAACTAGACTACTGAAATTTTGAATTTGCAAAATTATCTCAAACGTGAAGCTGAAGTCAGGCAGCCAGTTGCTACACTAAATACATCAGCTTGTGGTCCACTGACATCGCTTTCTCCTAACTCTGAGGGTACTGCAGAATTCAGAAAGAAATTTGGTTCCCAAACCTTTACTCTGCCACCAACCCTAATCCTAGCTATATGCCACAGCATAAACTAGATATGAATGATACAACTATTTTCCTAACTCTCACAAAACGGGAGGAAATTTAGGATTCAGGAAGTAAATGTGGGTGGTGATACCTAACCCTCACCTCTATTCAGAGAACTTTTGTAATTACTCAGTTTTTTTTTTAAATTAATGATAATCCTATAGTAGCAATATCTCTATTTTCTACCAAAAAAAATGAATACAGTTGATGAATGGAAGCACTCAGAGAATATGCAAGCAGCTGGCTTGCTTTGAAATACCACATCTTTCTCCATTATAAGACATTCAAGTGAACAGGAAAGCAGACATGAAGGAAGATTAGAGATCCAAGCAATTCTTTTACTAAAAAGACTGGGGCACTTTTTCTTTCATACAATAGTATTTCATAAAACAGTAAGCTGTGTATTTCATAAAACACTCCCCCTTTACCTGTACAGATACGTTACCATAGCTGTCCACTACTTCTTTTGTGATAGTACAAATGATGAAATAAGACTTACTCCTCACACCTTTCTTAACTGATGAGGCTACTTTCATACCACAGACAAAAGACTGCCTCATGTGCATTATTATGCATGTTCTGCTGACCAGTGAGTTCAGTATTTCTGTAACAAACTCTTCTGATTCTTTTTGGTTTGTACATTGCCAGCAAGGAACCTTCAAAGGCTAATGAAAAAGTTTCAGCAGAATATAAATTCATAGGGTGCCTGTTCGCTGATTTTTATTTCGACTTACATGATGTGGAGTTAATCCTGAGACTACACAAGAAGTACCTTAGCTATTCCACTGGTCTTCCTTTTTTTATCTAGTATCACTTCTACCTGCAATCAAAGACTTTTTAGCCAGAGGTACCTACAAGCAGAACCATGCACCTGTTAGCTGCTATGCCTCCTTCTCCTGAGGAAACTCCGCACCTGATTAGATCATGGCGTTGCTGAGGGCAATTCCACACAGTCTATGGAAGAGGCTCCTTGAACACAGGTGGGTGTGGGGGTGATTTTGGCATTGTTCTGAACTACTTTGGAAGGTAACCATTATCTCATGCATTTAACAATGACCTAAACCTTTGTTGGAAGTGTTTTTCTTCGCTTTTTTGATTGTATGAAAAGCCAGCATGATAATTTTTGATCATCAGTTGATCATCAAAGGGGTCATGGAACTTTGTGGGGCATACAATCATTTCATTTGCCAAAACAGAGCAGCTGCTCTACGGCACCTTCAAGGGTCTTCTCAGAGCCTGGCAAACTGCGTAACTCAGACTTCTTTTTGAGGAGGAATGTCTCAACCCAAATCTTTCACTTGTATAATCTGCTCTTACTAGTTATGTTTCCTAATTGGGACTTGCATGCAAAAAGGTGAATTTAATTCACAGGAATCAATTTTTGTGACTATGACACTGGATAGAGAATGTGAAAAGGATGTCCTAGCTCTACTAGCTTATGGGCCCATAGTAACTTGCTGTGCTCATCTTCAATGTCATGCACACCTGCCCTCACTGTTTAGATTGCCAGTTTTCTAGGGGCTTTAATTAGCACAGTACAACTCAAGCGTGATTTCAACATAGACGGGTACTACTGTCACACAAGTAATGATGAAGATGATCCCAAAATACAGGCATTGAGGTTCTGGGTACAATATTAAGAAGCTTGCAGTTGAAATCCTGAGCCTGTTTTGTTCATTCACCTGCTGCCACAAACCTTCCAACTGACAACTCCAACATGTGTAAAAAATCATGCCTTGGGTATCTCTGAGTGGAATGCAAGCCATGAAACAAACAAACAAACAAAAAATCAGGGAGGAAGATAACGTTCAGAATACCTCAGCATAAACTACAGCAGAGCAGCTGTCTCTGTCAGCTAACCAGTCTAACGAATTATTTAACTAGCGACTTCAAGTTTATCTGATTCTTCTACTTCGAGCCAGGCATTGTCCTCATGAACTGCTTCCACTATGACACCTTTCTCCCCCACCTTTTTAGAACTGGAAATGTAAACAAGTTCCTTACCACCCCATAGGCGACAGTATCTGAATACATTCTCATTTCTGGATACACGCTGACAAGATACCACCTAAAGGTCTTGCACTGGAGCTTTTTCCTCAAGGCCTTCCTCTCAGAAATATCACCAATATCAATTCCAGAGTCCTGCACATAAAACAAAGGACAGAAAAAGCAGAAAAGACATCAGCGATACACCTCTGTGTAAACTAATCATCCATAGTCTCCCTCATTGCAAAGATGATTATGACCTATGATAATTATCAGCTTTTGGTTGCGAAGTACATCTGTTACCCACACACACTCTGTAAGTGCCCCAATTAAACATGATACAGGTCACCATGGCGGGGTCTCTTTCAAAGTCGTCTTTGGTCAATGGAACCACTCCTATTGACTTCAGTGGGGTTTAGATCTAGCTTCCAAGGAGTATCACTGTTGTTCTCTAATTTCCTGGCACTTTCCAAATCCAAAAGTAATTGGCAGGAAGTAGCAAGTTACCCTAGAAACCACTTTATTGCTGGCGTCTCACTGTGGCCTAATCGTTAGTATATGACACTTTCTGGCCATTTCTGAAGCCTGCGTTTACTGCTTCACTGCAAAGAGCAGAAGCTCTGCTCACCTTTCTGAAGCATTGCTTATTAAATTTCTCTTGTAACGTAAAAAGAGAAGTTGCTATTTTTGTTAAAAGCAATTCCAGAATATTCTCTCCCCCAATTTTTATTCTCCTTTACATTTCTGGCTAACCTAGTTTCTGCTTATCATAAGAGCAGATCATAACGCGTGAGTTTCATAAAGTCCCTGTATATAAAAATCAATAATTTATCACATTAAAATCATGCAACGGAAATTTGAGAGAGGGATCTAAGTGCAAATCCGTGGCTGCTATTTGACAGAAAGTAAAATGAGACATTTTGGTCCACACTGTGTTCTACCACTTCTGCCTCAGAATAAAATTCAGGATAAATAAATTTTCATAGAGAAATCCTATAATCTATCGACTTAAACAACAGTCTTTACTGGGCCATAAACACCCTGAAGATTTTGGCAGCCACCAAATATGATTTAAAAATAACATTGGAAGCATTGAATTTTCTTAGTTACACATCAAAAAGGTATCTTTATACGTACCGAGGTTTATAAGCTGCTGAAGCAACGACTGCTTCTTACATCCCAAAGCACTGAATTATTGTTAATCTAGAACAAGTATATTTTATTATGGAAGCATTTTCTAACTAAAGTAAAACTGACTTCCACATTAGCAAAGTATACTAAAAAGTAGGAAACTGAGGTCTGGCATAAACAGGCATAAATCAAGTTAATCCTTAAAAATGATGATTCCCCTCCCCTCAAGCCCTATACCATTCATAAAACTTTATGTGGAACTATTCCTTAAGCGACCATTTTTTCCTGACTTTTCTAGCAAGTGACTAGATAGAGGAACATGGTGTAGGGTGCTGCAAGACAACCAACTGGTCCCATGGACAAATCCCGCGCATGCGCCGCTCTGGCTGCACTTGCACTTGCCAGTGTATCTTCCACTCGTGTGAAGGAAAAGGAGGATGCCAGCTCACAGACATTTGACTTCCAGCACTAACAAGGATTCCTGGGATCAGGTACTAAATTGGTCCACACCCCCGAAACATAGGGGAGGACACAAGGAGAGCACAGCTCTTGCTTCTGGGACTTGAATTCTTTTTTCCTTTGGGTTTTAAGTGCTTTTCTGAATCTATTTATCTAAGTAGTTGCAATGCAGAAATCACCATGGTATCTGAGATTGCCATATGAAGCGCTTAGTACTTCAGAGCCACCCACAGAGATCCCAAGAGGACAGTCACAGCACAGTGCCAAATGAGTCTAACTCCTTTTTATTATTATTAGCTCTCAAAGACTAAAACCTTTGGAAACATCTGACTATGGGGCTTCTTGGAGATCTGGGAATTCTTTCATGGAAGAAAACAGGTCCTGTGGTTAACATTTTGGAATAACATATTTCATGGAAAGTCCTGACTGTTGTAACTGAATACGTTTCTATTACCTACTCAGTCCATTACCAGTGCACTATTTCATCAGCTTCCAGATAGAGAATTACTCCTGTAGTTATCCACTTGTGTACCAATATTTGGCTATGCTCTGTCTCTCCTCTCTGCACGTCTCTCACAATGATGTCTCAGCATCTTTTTGCCTAAGCTGAAGCTAAGTTTGATTTGAAAATTGTTCTTCTTTGGTATTTCACCTTTAATTTAATCTTGAGGTAGGCGAAGATGAAACAGAAATATTGCCATCCAGTCTGATATCTAAATTTGACCTAATCCATGCCCAGCCTTTTTCATCCACCATCTCTTTGCCCCCTGCCTACTGGAAGTCTGTATTACAAGTGTTCCACAAGCTCAAAGTTATTTTTTAGGTTGCTGCTTTACACTGAATATTCCCTCTTTCTACTGGTGTTTCTATACCAACCAGAGACTGCATTGCTCCTAACCTTTTGATGTATAAAAGAGGACTCCCACTAATGATGTAGGTTTTCTTTATACTGACTGATTCATTTACAGTGCTTGGGAATGTAATTTTGTACTGTATTTTCCTCTTTCCCTTAAAAGGCTAAAAGCTTTCCTTAATTTAAAATTCCTTAATTCTGCTCTACAATCAGTTCAGTACTCGCAAAGTTTAGCATGGGAAAGGAAAAGGAGGTCCCAGGTCTTCGGAGCTCTTCCCCTGATTCTTGGCACCAGGCCTCACACAATGAACACAGCTAGCTTCAAATTACACAACTGATTTGGGACACTCGAGCACCTGGCAGGCTGTCAGAACAAAACAGAGCCCCGACACTCTTCTAAGTCCTTTCCTATTTTCCACATGGCAAAAGATGGAAGCTGGGTGAACAACACTTGAATGTACCCAGCTGTAAGTCACTGACCCCGTCTGACAGGAAAGCCTTCTGATGATCACAAAGGTGCCGTACTGCCTCTGAACATCCTGTAGCAATTAACTAGGTAATGAGTAGATTCAGGCTTTATAGGCCTGTTACAACCGGGGAAACTAAGCTGTCTCCTATCTTTTATATGTGCGTGTTTATTTGGTTTCCTACAGCGGTGAGAAATACAAATGAAGGTTCTTTGTGCTACAGGTTCCGTACATACATGCAGTAATAGATTTCCCCCTACAACAGAGGCATCTCATTACATTACAGAAGAGGCTACCACTATTAAAAGCTGATTTAGCACTTGCCATTTCCAGCTTTTAAGTCTGCTCTACGGCTTGACAGCAGTAGCCTTTGAGAAGATGAAGAGAGAATATAATCTGCATTGCAATTTATTCAGGCAGTTCAGTGCAATGATTAGTACATTTGTGGTAGGAAAATGACTGGAGGTTGAAGTAGTAAGAAAACTTGTTATTCGTCTTCAAAACTATGAACAAAATCAGTTTTGGCAGTACAAGATCTACCATGCAAACACCCTGATGCACTCTGTGACCTGAAGAAATCGGTTCAATCCACACACTGCATTTATTTTTCCTTTGTTTAATAACACATATCTCTTCCCTTTGTTGAATAAATGAGTTTTAAATTGATCATAACAGGCTTTTTTTTTTCTGATCTATTGGCACAGTCAAGACTGTGTTATTACTTGTTAAATTTCCATTTAACAAGCAAAAATAACAACTTATCTTTGTATTCTTTATGAATATGATTTCCAAATTGCGTTCAGATATCAACTTTGCACAAGATTAAGAACCACCACCATCACATCTGGATGAATATTATGCAAATATATGTTAGCAAAAGGAATTTCTAAGTTTTGTGTTAATGCTATGTTTGCAAGTCAAAATACTGAAACTTGATCAATCAATGAAGATCAACCAATCTTCAGGAAAATAACTAACAATAAAAAATAGAAACTGAAATTTAAATCTATCAGGTTAATCACAAATAAAATTCATTTGAAATTGTTTTGATGTAAAATAAGTAACCCTATCTTCCAGAAATGTCTTTATTCTTGTATGCACTGCTGTGCGACTACTCAAAACAGGGACACTTAAAGGGTAGCTTGGATTCTGTGAACAAGGGACTGTCTTCCAGAAACCTCCTTTCCCTATATCAGATCATAGAGGATTTTTTCCTGGTGCTTTCATGGTATATTATGTGGCTAATTCTGTAACCTGAAAATACGACAATTCTTCCCCACTTCACCAAAATTACTTAATTTTAACCCTGAGAGATGAAGGAAACTATTGAAAGCAGCTGAATCAACATCAGCATTGATATATCTAGCTGGTTTTTGGTTTCTAACCTTTTTTCCTTATTAAACTAAAGGAAGAGAAGTACAGCATCTTATTTCTTGAACCAGAAATCACTGCAAAACCAGTTTCTCTGAACAGTTGCAAAAAGACTCAGAGAGATTTTATTAAAGAAAAAATAAATGACCAAGCTAATTAATTAAATCTAGAAAATTTGCTTTTGCTGTAACGAGAACAGTACACTGTAAGTCAAACCTCAAATTCAACTATAGCCATGGTTTCCACCCTCTACATGGATCCTGAATATTTTCTAGAACAGGTCCCTATAGCTCTTAAGAGTTCATAGATTAAATGTGATTGACTACAGAAGTGAAGAACAACTAAAATCAGACGTCATACTGAACTCTCAGGTTAGCCATCTGACATTATCTTTTCAATACAAAATGGACCAATCATTGCTCATCTATGGAAAAGAAATCTGGACAAGCAGGCCAAAAGGGAGTTGCAGCTAGATTCTGCCATATGTCAAGACATCCAGCCACCCTTACTCTGATGTGAAATTACTCAAGAGTGATACACCCACACTTGAACTGATAGATGTTAACACCCCTTGGCAGGACTTCCCTCACAAATCTGGCAGAATTATAGCTGAGGGTAAATAAGAAACTTAAATTCAAAATAAGATATGTAATATAGATTTGATGCCTCTTTTTTCCACATTTCTGCAGCTACTAGATTAAAAACTCCATGAAGAGTCATCAGTGAGGATGATGAACTTGACAAGAAATAAATTTTTAAGGAACCTGAAGACAAAGAAATTATTGTAGAATAAGACACAAATACATATGTATTTATATATATAAGTGTGTAGGTGTAGGCATATCTTATGCCTATATGTAAGACATAAATACATACATATGTGTATACAAATAACAAAATCCTAGCAGAAAAATGAAAATTCGGAGTAGGAACCAAACCCAAAAGGATCTAAATCCAAAGCTTGTAAACACCAGTCTTTGTGACTCACCTCCTGGGGTATGTTCCATGCCATATAGACATGGCTCTTAAATTCATCCATCCAGACTTCAGCCACCCTTAGTGCATTTCTCCGGACATGAGCAGTTAGGTCTTCTGTGTATGGTTTATGTGCTCTTTCAATGTGGGCAATCCTGGAGCAAGGTAGAACCTCAACAGTTCCTCCACACTGCCATACCTAGTAGGAAAAAAGACATTCTGCTAGTGAGAGCACCCTACATCACTGCTATCCTTTAATAAATACGCTGAAATTATTTTATCTCTATGCTTGTCATTGTTACAAAGGAGAATAACTATTCAAGACTTATTTGACTATACAGAGGGTTTTCTTAGACAGTTGTGAGAGGAGAGAGTTATTACCTTGCCTTACCATGAATTACTACTACTACTTAACCTTCCTACAGAATTATTACATTGCCAGTAGCCTCTCATCACAAACTTCCTGGATCAATTTAGCTATTCTCAAGATTATTAATAAAATTATTTATAGGGCATCCAAAACAATAGTGTCTGTGTTCAAGTTTTAATGCCTTGCAGGCATTTCTCTTAAGATTGTGCACAGTCCATCTCAATGCATACATGCACTATTCAGAACCTTGAATTAGGCAGCCTTACGTAGAAAGAAAACTAAGCCAATCAGCTTTTTAAGATCACTAAAGCTTCAGGTTCTAGGAAGACTAGGAATATAAATGCATCTTATGCTTTGTTTTAAACACAGCTCGGAAAGGATCAGGTTTATTTCTTCTGAGAAGGAGTGACAGAGACTAAGACTGCCTAGTGAAAATGTTCTATGAACAATTTCAACACACGCTACATACTACACACACGATATAATTTATAAAATTATAATACATTTATAATGTAGGTTACTGTACCTGCTCAAGTGTGGTTCAGTTTTGCTTTCAGTTTTGCCCACTACCACAGTTGAGCTAATGTTAATCATAAGTATTGCATCCATTTCTGATTTTCTCTCTTTCTGCTTTCAACAAAAGAGAAAACCACTTTGGCAGCCTTAACAGTCAGTGAAGTACTTCAGTTATTTTACAAAGAAGCTCTTCTTCTGTGTACCTTGTACTATGTAAACTTCCTAACAAGATCAAGGCAGCCCATTCATAATAGTTGGGTGGATGCTGCTCAGGTGAAAACCCAGATGTACTCAAACTGCTCCTGCTGAACAAGAACCTCAGTGTCCCAGAGGCAGGTGTACTCACTAAGAAGTGACAGAGTTTGCCTTATGATACTGCAGAGATTCCTGAGGCTTGGTATCCCATACCAAGAGAGCAAAAAGTGAGAGTGAGGGGGTGCTCCTTCCTCGTACAGCTCATCCAGGAGACAGTATATTCTGGTCTCCCTCCTAGTAGCCAGGGATGTAGGTTGGCAGAACATCATGTTCTGGAGCTGATCTGTGACCCCTCAGGTCTGTCCATCCTATAGGCATATGCTCTACTAAGGAGGCACTTTGTTCAGCCATTCATTTTATGTATTTAGACATCTGGCTTGAATACAGCATTTAGGCATTTGGCAGCTCCTGAGACCAGAAGATGTGGCACGGATTCAGAATGTTTACAAAGCCTTTTCTGAACTGGTGCCTAATTGCATTCAGCATATGCTGGGAGAAGAGATAAAGCCTTGGTTTTCAGAGCTCTCTGGAAGATGAGCTATCCCATTAACCTACTGTACAGTCAAGGGAGCTGAAAACACTTCAGCATGTCTCCATGTCCAGAACTTGGAAAACCGTAAGAGTAAATAAACATAACCATTACCAACATTAGGGCAAAACTGAGATGATCATAAATACTTAAAAATAAATGGACAATTGATCTGGCACAAGAATAAATCTGGAAACAACACTTGTGTCCTGTCTTTCTAAATATCATATACAGTAGGCAATCCGGTTTAACGATCTAACAAAAATAATAGTTTGTCAAACATTTAGTTCTAAATGGTTCAGCTACATTTCCTAATAAAGTTTAAATGTGAAGTATCATCAGGCTTTGCTCATACAATGCCTGCTTTTGGTCCAAGCCATTTCTCAGTATGGCATTGACATCCAGCTATAAATTGTTTCGGTTACTCACTGTACACTGTTTAAATTAGTATCATAAAAGACAAGGAAGATGTAGAGATGGTCATAACTTAGCCTGGGACAAGACAATTCACATACCGCATATGCTGCCTACTCTGCCTAGCCTTTGCTCATTTTAACTAGGAATGGCCTCGATCCAAGTCTAACACGTGAACACCATATCTTTTGTAGGATTTTCAGAGTCACATCTGAATGCCATCTTGACAACAAGCTGAGCCAAAAATTCACAGTCTATAGTAAGATGAATTTCCAGGTAAATTTCTAGGATCTGAAAATCTCAAAAGCATACTCATCTATAATTTTAGTACTGATTCAGTAATCAGTAAAATCAAATTTGACTTTATAATGAAGTCATATGTGTTTTCAAAAACATCCTGAGATGACGAAGTCTTTAATATAGTTTGTAAATAACAATTACCCACTACCTGAATAAACACCAATTAATCAACTCTGGTGGCCACTCCTTTCTCTTAGACACTGTCAGTCTTTGTTCTATTTCCAAAGACTAACTAATTGTTCTGCGAGAACCATGGATTCACTTAAAAACTTAATGCTAAGAGGGAGCTGTCAATACAGATGTTGACAGAACAGGCGGGTTGTATTAAACAGCTTCAAAACCAAATCCTATTATTTCTAAGCAAAAATCTCCTGCAATCCATGAAAATGTGATTAGCATGTACCAAAACTGGACTAGAGATACATGCTAATGATTTCCACATATCAAGACGAATAAAAGTCCTTTAATGACTTTTTAAAGAGGAAGACATGAGAAACACAAGTGATCTGAAGATATGGGAATTGTAAGTTGGTGTGCGCAGAGCTTGCAGTTACAGCACTAAACCTGTAGTAGCACTACCCTAGATGTAGGCTATGAAGCCTTGCAGAGCACTCGCAGAGTGAAAGCAGATGCAATACTTTGTAAGGGCAGAAAGCACAATCGTGACTTGCTCAGCTGGTCACATCTAGGACAAGCCATAGTACCCTTCTCTCCCCCAAGCATTCTTTGCCAGTGGGATTACAGTACAGTGAGAAAGCTCTTTTCTCCAAACACTTCATTGCACTTAGGGAGAGGCCAGCTGCAAAAAAAGAAAATGTAGGTAGGCCTTAAAGTGGGATTTTCAAACGGCATGAAACTCTCCTGAAATCTGAAGGGATTCTGGATTCCCAACTCCCCAAAACATGTACAAAATCTCCAGCCAAGGAATGAAGGGCTTTGCTAGTCATACACTAAATATTAAACACTATACTGAAGAGGATTATGTGAATACTACACAATATAATATGATTAACTGACTGCTACAGAAAGTGTTAGGTTTTTTTCATTCTTCCCTGATTATATTTGAAATAAGGAAATTTCTTGCAGCTAGGTGAAGAACACCCATCCATTCTTTCTTTCTTTCCTTCTTAGACCAACCGTCCTCTTGAATCTGACCACTCCTACCTCCCCCCATCTCCTTTACTCGTGTAAACAAATCCATGGTACTCCAACCATTGTGCTGGGAGCCACTGTGGATGGTTGGATGGTTTTTCAAGACATCTTGAAAAGATATAAATCTCACATCAAAAGTGCACAGGAGAGACTCATTAATTACTCTGAACCAACACCTTTTGGTCAAAGACAATTTTTAGTTTAGTTTTGTTTTTTTAATTAATATTTTAATACTAAGAAATATATTTTCTTAAAGACTCAACTCCGAGAGAAGCTGAGAAGCCTTTTAGAGCGGTCTGTTCTTCATCTAATAAAATTCCTGTAGACAAGAGATTGTTTTTATAGTTAAGAAATAGGAATAGCAATTGAGGGGTCAATTCCTCACAGCTTCACACATTTTCCCTATGAATTTCACAGCTATTTTTTTGCTGTCATTAGTAATCTTTATTCAGGCTTCATCCATACTGAATAGCACCTCTCTAGTTCTCCAGCACTGTTATTTTATGTGATGGCTATAAATAAATATAAAGGTTTAAAATCAGTTAAGCTCTTCCAAATTATCACCCATTGCTTTAGCAGGAAGTCTAAAGATAAATGGAATGGTTTGAAGTAAAATGTTATCTCTCTGAGCATACTGTCGCTGCAATCAGTAATACTTAATGACAAACCCACTTGTACAAATTGCAAGGAAGAAACTAGATGAATTTCCTAAACTATGGTTAAAAGGAAATGCAGCACCTTTTCCTGTTGCCCATGAAGATGTTTTACCTATGGTAGCAAGAGGTGGAAATTGCTAGCAATAGTCTCAATTTCCTGCCAAATCCCTAAACATACATATACACTTGTCAAAAATAACATATGCTTCCACCATTGTGATACAATAAATAGCAATTCACATTTCATTCTGTAAAGTATCAACTGCAAAACTGTACCAATAGGTCTCAGGCTTTGCCTTAAAGCAAAGACCTTAGAAGGTTTTCAAGTGCGAGGGACTGCTTATCTTTGGGAATATTTAGCATGACTGCTTGATCCCCAGCAATGCAGAAAGTTTGCTTTTCTTTGGAGGAATTTCTTGAGGTTCTGTCCTGCTCATTCACTTTTCAAAAACAGTCTTTTAAAAAAAGAACACACCAACTGGAGTTTCCCTTCCAAATAGCTCTCAGAATCGACTTCAGTGTGTTTTCAATGCTCCCTTCCAAGAGGACCTTAGAAAGGCTCTTTATTCTTGAATTTCCTGAGGAGGTTCATACATTTGCTATAGTCCCAAGAAGGACTTAGAGGGCTTCCTCTTCTTGAAAGAGTTCCTTCACCCCTAGCAAAAGGTAGTAAAATTCCATAAAAAAATTCAAGGTGTAAAGGGACAGTAGCAGTGCCAAGGCGACTTCTAACACTTACAAAGCTGAAAGACTACAATCAGCAAAGCCTGTGACCTAAACTAAGCAAAGCAAGTGGGAGATGATAGGAACACTAAATGAATATGGAGAATCTATTTGGGGGGAAAAAAAGGGGTGGGTGGGTGGATCTTCCTTTTGAATCTTCAGTTGTTGTGACTTTGTGGAGAATGTGTCCAAGCTCTAAGCACTTCTTACTGTTAATTTACTGAAGGTACATTTACACATAAGCTATAATTGTGGTCCTACATCTGTGTCAATTTATGTTCGCT